CGGGGAAAGAGGTACTGAGTTGAGCTAAGGTCCTTCACTTTGGGGTGTATGATGACACTCAAAAAGAGCAGCTGTATATAAAATTAGAACAAGCCACTCCTCTGCATTTGGTGGCAGTACAGTTCTTGGGCCACACATGTATTGCTGACAGTAAAGATAGTCAAACCTTTATCTGGACTCTTATTCTGAGGATTTAGAAAGTTTAACCAGAAGACCAAGTGCTGTCAACCCTTCTGTTTTGTAGATGAAGACTACTTTATTAAACCCCATATTTTAATAACATTCAGGAGGCTGAAATATAGCTTTATTCATGGTATTTATTTCTTCCTCCAAGTGAAACTGTAGTCCTCAGGATCGACTTGATGTATAAGTAGAGACAATATTCACTTGACCTAGGTTCTTTTCCAGCTTGGATTTCTTCTTTTAATCTTGAAAGGTAACACCAGCTTCCTACACAATACTTACAATTCTTGCACAGTGTAACAGCTTTCTGGAAGCTCATTCCTTTCCAAAATAAATTCCTTTACTTGTTTAGTTATTACTAGCCTCTATCTTTGAGAATGCCAGAAAGAGGAGGCACAGGTAAGAGTTAGAGATTGCAGGGGGGTGGAATGGGAATGCAGGGGAAATGGACAGATAGTCACAAAGCAAAATAACTAGAAAGTCAGGGTTGAAGTAAATCATAGTTCCTTGAAAGTGTCCTTGAGTGTTGATAAATGCTTAATGGCACAGAACAGAAAACCTGTTCATCTCCCATATAGCCCGTACCATGTGTCCGAGTTATATACTTTGGATAACAATAACTGGGACTTGGGAAAGGAGGCCTGAATCTATATAACTGACATTTATAATTATCGTGCCTTAATCCCCACCCCTACTTTTTATACAACAACAGGCCTGGGGTCCTAATTTCAACATAAAACTATTCTCTAGACCTGGGTGGAACTCAGGGGCAGAAGAAAGAAAAGGTGTTTGAAGAAAGGGAGTCAAGGGGCTGAGGGAACAACAAATAAAGGGAAAAAACAGAAAACCTCCACCTCATCTACAATAAAGTAATCACTGTATGAATAAACAGTTGGAAGATTGGGTTCGCTGTCATTCTCCTTCAACCCCTCCCTTCACCCCTAGATCAGTACAAAGAGTAAGGTAATAAATACAATTTGGGTAAAAGTGTAATACTGTTTAGTCAGAATTACCAGTGAAGTGAATTGTCTTTTATCCTTGTTAATATGCTCTTAATATTGAATTAGTTGCATTTGTTCATGTAATATTCTCAGCAATTTGAAGAAAATCTTTACCATTAACTTACAATTATATAAGTTCCATCTAATTATGTGGAAACTAATACTTTGTTTTATTTTTTGATGTTTGTATCCACAAGAAAGATTTTGTGGATTACAGGAGTACATTTTTGCAAGGATTGGGGGAGGGTGGGTATGGAAAGCTGGGTGTGGTGTGGAGTGATGAAAATCCAGCGTGTGTGTTATGTAGTTAAAGAAATTACCTGAAAAATGGCAAACTTTTCCATTCAAATGCAAAATGCTAAATTCTATGGCTTCAGTATGTAAGCTTTTTTCAGTTTTTTCAGAGGAGCAAATATTTTTCAGAATGTTTTCATTTTCAACAAGTTGTTTTTTCTATGTAGATAAAGTGGAGTTAAATTATTTAAGAAATTGAAAATGTCTTAAAAGACTAGTTTACTTCCTCAAACAGATGTTTTTACATTTAAAAACTTTTAAACGGATAAATATAGTATAAGTAACACGTACTTTTCCAACTTGTAAAAATAAAAACTGAATACAATCACTTTAACACAAATGATACCTGGATATATATTTTCACTTTGAAATTCATGCTGTTACAGCATGAAATATTAACATACTCTATCTTGCAATTAATAAAGACTATCTGTAAACATCACACTCCACATTAAGCAATTGTAATCAATCCCTCTTCGTTCATAGCTAGGTAAAGAATTATCCACAGCATCTGATCTTGTATTAGAAAAGCATTTGAATTATGATTGTCTTGTTAGCTCTGATATATCTTCAAAGTACTTGATATTAAACCACAACAGAGAAGGGAGAGATATAGGGAGTCACTGAGAGCTTGGAGAAAAAGTTTGACGTGGAGAAAGCTGCAAAGAGAATAGTTCTCAAAGCAGAAAAAGTAATGAATTCAATTGATTATTTTACTAAAATATCTTTATAAAGGAACAGTCATTCATAGGAATACTCGTAAGCTATTGCGGGCAATGTCTTTTATGATAAAAAAAAAAAACCCTACACTAGTTCTGGGGAGGAAGAGAGGATACTTTCAGGGTTTTATGATAAAGGTGGCTGTAAAGTACAATTGTAACCTTTTAAGGTAAAGAAAGCAGTTAAGCTATTTAAATGAGTTTACAATGTTTGGCTTAGGGTGATAGTTCCAAACATTATACCCTCTCAGATGTATAAAAATATTATTCTGTGTTAATTTGTTGGGCTGTTTGGGATGATGGAGGGGGGTGTCTGCTGTTCATAATGTTAGAAGTGTGACAGTTTACTGCCTGAGTGAGAAATAGAGCTATTATATAGCTTGATGATTACTATTTTATTTATTCTTCTTAAAGAAGTACGTCAACTTTACTTCCACAGTTTAGAAAACAGAAAAAAAAAATGTCGAGAAAATTGATACCAATGGGAGTTTAGAACATGCAACCGGGCTAAAGAATGAGGCAGGAGTTAGCACCATGGACAGAGACAAGCCGAGCCTGAATAAAGGTTTGCAAAGCTTGTTGGAGTTTTCTGTCCCTCCCAGTGAGACACAGAAACTACAGTTCTTGGGAACACTTCATTTCTACAGACTATAGGGCTGTCCTACTCCATAGAAACACGTTTATTTTGAATTAGGCTGGCTTTTGCTAGGACTCGGCCATAGTGACAAACCGCCGGGAAGGTTAGCGCCCCGAACTCGCTGCGCACCCTCCACTGTCCTCTTTCCAGACACTTCTTCCCCTAGTGAGCCTGTCAGTCATCAAAGAGGTCATACAAAATAAATGCAAATCCAGGTAGTCATCGAAAAGTCAGCTATACCTACTCCAGATTTGTTAATCCTCGAAATTCCCAGAGGGAATCGCAACAAAAACGTCTACACGCTCGACCCTCTCTCCCCTCCCCCCGTTCTTCCCCCGGCTCCCTCCATCTCCTGGCAAAGGGGCAAAGCCTTTTATCCGAAGGTGAGTGACCTCCGAGACTATTTCGCAAAGAACCCTTTATATTGCAAACACTCTCCATTAGGAACAGTGCCAGAGACAGCAGTGAGCAGGACCACAAACATCCTTTACTTTCTCTTTACATCATGTCTTTAAACTCCTGTTCAAGGGAAAAGGCTGTAAAAGGAGCAGACTCAGCGAGAATTTACCCTAAATTCCGAGGTTACTGTTTACACTTAAAGACACATGAATTGTATAGGTTTTTTTAAAAAAATTAAACGTAATGTGTCGCGGTAAATTAAGACCAGCCTATATTGTTCTTCCCCCCCCCGCCCCCTACCACGACCGCCTTTCCCCGCCCCCTCAGCAAAATGTGTATGAGGTGCATTCTCCTTTAGATGATTTGCCTGCGGATATTCAGACTGAAATCTGTTGCACGTGCCCCGGAGTGTCTCGGAAAATTTATTTGCAGCTTCGGATCAACGATCATTTATGTAAACGCTCCTGCAAATGCCCTCAGCTTTCTTCCCCTCCTCTCTTTTACTCAGGACCAACTTTTAGCAAGGTAAACTCACGTCTTTCCTGAGCATGCAAAGGGTGATCTAGGCGACGAGGGAGGGTGAGGTAAGAAAAAACTTGGAGGTGAGAAAGGGCAAGTCGGAGCTTTGTGTCCGTTTCTTCCAGGGATGCTAACAGCCTTCTCTAAGCTTCCTCCTGGAGCCGATACATCTCATGCAAAATTAATACAAGTAATTAAAAATAGCAGATTCCAAAGTTAAAGGAAACCATCTGTCTCAGCTGGTGGCAA